GTGTGTGTGTATGTGTGTGTGTATGTGTGTGTGAGTGTGTAAGTGTGTGTGTGTGTGTGTGTGTGTGTGTGTGTGTGTGTGTGTGTGTGTGTGTGTGTGTGTGTGCGCGTGCGTGTGTGAATATTGTTCATTCATATATCATTTATGCAAAGTGCCTAGAGCTGTGTTCACATGGTAGTGGGCGCTATAGAAGTGGACAATCGTCAGTCCCGACCTGACAGCTGACTGAAAGGTTTCATGATACTTGTTCAGTTCTTCCTTTATTTTTCTAATCACAGTTAGTCTTTCGCTGCATCATTTAAAAAATAACACAAGTTCATCGTGTGCCCTAATGATTTATTATCAGGGATGCCAAATGATTTTTGAAAAAAAACCTGAATATGAGCGGAGCATCACACCTGACCTAAAACGAACCTTGCAAAATCTTTAAATGAGCAAACAAAAACATTTCTCTTTCCATTCCCCTTTCCTAACTTTGAAAGGGGATCGAAAAAAAGGAAAAAGCCAGAAAAACCGGAGAATTGGCATCCCTGTATTCTGTAGTCTTCTGATTTAATTTTCCACAGAAATTTGTGGGACCTGTACATTTAAAAAAGTATTAGTGCAGTAAGTGTTTTACTGTACTTGCAATACAATAAGTTCATTAGGCCCTACATGCCAAAGACAGAGGTGTTGCAAGAGAGAAACAAACACAAAAATAAAGAACGATAGAAAGGAAACAGGAAACCACACGATAACATCTGCCAGCCACCCACCTGCACATTTTAATATATAAATACAGTGTCTTTAGAAAAGGGTGGCGTTACTGTACATTAATGTACCTGGTTGTGTACAAGTAATTTCAGTTTGGTAGGAACTAAGTTTGAACTTTGCCCATATGACGGCTGAAGCCTACTCTTGTCGACTTTAGGACCACCAATTTTTTGAAATATTTTTTTTTGGGGGGGGCAGAAAGGGGAGGTGAAAACAGATGACAACATGATTAGAGAGCAGGAAGGGAGGTGAAAGGAGAGCATATATATATTTAGAGAAATTTTGTGGCTGTCAGGTTTCGAGACAGAGACAGAATAAATGAGAGGCAATCACTGTACATACCCCTAACTCTAGACCACGAAAGACCCCCGCCCAACATCTGCCACCCCCTCCTCCCCCCAACCCCCTCCCCTGTAGATTACAGATTATAATATATTATAAATATTGCCAGAACAGTGTCTTTAGAAAAGGGTGGCCATACTGTAACATGTTGTGTGTATAGAAGCAGAAGCTTTGACCTGACTCCAGATGTGCAACGCACCAAGTGACCTTGATACACAACTTCACCATGGACGATGAAATTAAAATAAAATTGCTAAAATTTACATCAAAATAAATTAATATTGCATTTTTAAAATCAGGTTCCCCACGCGTCGATTTGCTTGCTTGCTTTAAATTTTTGAGACGCTGATTCCGATGAAATCAGTTTTTACCTGCAATAAATATTTAAAAAATTTTGCGCCTTCAGTTTAATCTGTCGGGGTGTCAAATTTTAAAGTGAATTTATGTCACAGCGCGTCTCCCCGTTAATAATCTCACCGTGATCGTACGAAAAAAATCTAGCAGCCCTTGATTGATTTCTCGACCAAGTCACCAACCATCTTCCAATCTTTGTACAATTTTGTGTTTACACCTCTCTAATGATTTGTCGTATGATCGATAGATCATCCAGTTTTTGTACAATTTATCGTTTAGGCCTGGCGCTAGATTCTACGTGTAACCAGGCCTTTTCACTTTTCTAGAACTTTTCGATTAAATTTTGGATCAAAATCGAGACCTATTTCATCTTAGATTCCTAAGAGAATGAATAGAACTAAATCTAGATCGATGTCAAAAGAAATCCTGAGACTAACCATACGGGGTGCCCACTACGGCTGGACTGGGCCGATCACCCGGCTCAATCGCCTGAACACTGACTGAAAACAAAACTAAAACACGTTTTCTTGATGCGACCGAGTGAGGGCAGTCAGGCGATCGGCCGATCCCATCCGTAGTGGGCACCCAGTAATAGCCTAGCCCAAAACTCAGAACCTACAAATGTCCATTGTTAAACAGTTAGGTTGAGTCGCCTAAGTTTTAACAGTTTGTGTGTGTACACACTCTTACTCTTGATTTCTTCAAGTCTGAGCGTCACCAAACTCACCTGAAACACGACAGAGAAGTAAGCAGAGAAGCAAGCTTTGAATCAGTTTCATCGCCAAGTGATCTTAGAAACAATCTCCAAACCGACATAACTCAAAGTACTGGATTGGGACGTGTTTCACGTCATTTTACTCGAAGCTGCTAGATCTATCGGTAAAAATTCGCAGGGAAATTTAGCAGCTGAATCTATTAGAATCTGAATCTGAATTCTCAATCTCGGTTGAATTACGCTATTCCGAGGAAAGACACAGAGTGGCCTCCCTTACGCGGAAGTGTTTTCTTATTTTATACTTTTTTTGTAAGGCGTTCTCTTCTAGGCCTATTGCTATTGAAATTGATTGGTAAATTAGGAATGTTTCTTCCTTTACAATTACTAGATCTACTTTTCTTCACACAAAAAACACATGTAGCTAATATCTTTCTTTAAAATGTTTTAAGGTGATAAATTTTGTCAGTAATTGTTGAAACAGAATAAACCCGTGCCCCTTGAGTCTCATTAAACTTGCCGACACACAACTATAAAATAATTAAGGTGATGACCTGTCCAAGCAGGCTTTTGGCCTAATTGACATTACAAGTCTCAACACTGAGTCAGCACTCAACATACACCAACGACAGGTGGAAATTGTATCGGGATTTCCTGTACTGACAAAGTCAACCCAGATTGCAAGGCAGTACAATGTAATATGTAGGCCCTATTTTGGGACTATTTATTACTATTAGAAGAGTCAAATTTTCCGGTACTTATCTTTGTCGAGATAACAACAAATAACAACTGATTACAACAATACATGTCTGATAACAACTGATGACAACAAAATAACGACAAATATCAACACAAATGTCCTCATTTAGTTGCTTTTACTTGGATTTTAAGGTATTCTTACATCGGTATTTTATCTTTGTCGAGATCACAACAAATAACAATTACTGATAACAACAATTAACAAGTGATAACAAAGAATAACAACTGATAACAACAACAAAATTGACAAATATCAACTCAAACGTCCTAATTTAGTTGCTTTTATTTGTTTTTTAAGGTATTCTTACATCGGTATTTATCTTTGCCGAGATTTAAATAACAACTGATAACAACAAAATATAACAACAATTTTAAATATCAACAGAAACGTTATAATTTATATGCTTTAACTTGGTTTTAATGTAGCCTGCTTACATCGGTATTTTTCTTTGTGGAGATAACAACGAAATAACTGATAACAGCTTTTACAAAACAACTGATACAATTGATAACAAAATATGACGACAAATTAATATCAACACAAACGTCCTAATTTAGTTGCTTTTACTTGGTTTTTAATGCATTTTACATCGGTATATTATGTATCTTTGTCAAGACAACAAATAACAAACTGATAACAATAAAAGACATTAACTGATAACAATTTAACTGATAGCAACAAGTAATAACTGATATTACTGATAACAACAAAATAACGCAACAGAAACACCCCAATTTATTTGCTTTTATACTTGGTTTTAAGCAAGACTAGTCTTGTTTTTTGAAATTATTACGCAGACAAGAAATGTTATCATTCTGCATGTCTCATTCAACGACTGGCATTTATATCCTGCTCATTATTGGCAATAAAAAAAAAAAAGCGGTTTTGTTAACTTGTGAAGTACGACACAGGGAAGCAATTTACTTGTTTAATATCAATATAAAGATATCAAATACATTGTGTATATGCGTGATGCGTGAAATTGGCTAGGAGCAGTAGCTTTTTATTTTCAAATTTGTAAAATATTTGGGTAGAATTATAAGTGTGGTTTTGGCGTTATTTCGATTTTAACTGTGACACTGTCCCTGTCTACCTCATTTCTTTCTCTCTTTTTCTCTCTCTTTCTCTTTCTCCCTCTCTCTCTCTCTCTCTCTCTCTCTCTTGCTCTCTCTCTC